GGAGTTTCGTGAGCATCGATTTAAGAGTGGGCTGAGTTTAATCTTTACAGTATCTGTCTGAGGAAAGTACGGGGGATGGAGGCAGCAAACCACATTGCCATGTATGCACCTACACAACAATCCTGCACGATCTGCACCTGTACCTCAGAACCTAAGTACAATAAAAAAAAAATAGAAAAAAAAAAAAAAAAGAGAAAGTACTGTTAGATCAATAGCAGATGGCTTTTTAACTTCCTTCAGAAATCAAGTTGGTTCTCAAAGTTTTAACCAGTAGAGGTGCATGTAGGCAGGTGCTGTTGCCACCTGCCAGGATGGTGGCTCTTTTATAAAGACTGGTAGACTGCCTGGAGGCAGCAGGTTACCAGGGTGTATCCCCTGGGAGTTGGTGTTTTTAAGAATTGGCAGGGAGGGTCTCTGCACTGGCAGGGCGAAGAGCAAGAGACCACCACCAAGCATTGTGAAAGGTGCCTCCGTCTGCACCTCCGTGCATTCCTGTGAAAGGTGCCTCCGTCTGCACCTCCGTGCATTACTGTGAAAGGTGCCTCCGTCTGCACCTCCGTGCATTACTGTGAAAGGTGCTCCGTCTGCACCTCCGTGCATTACTGTGAAAGGTGCTCCGTCTGCACCTCCGTGCATTCCTGTGAAAGGTGCTCCGTCTGCACCTCCGTGCATTACTGTGAAAGGTGCCTCCGTCTGCACCTCCGTGCATTACTGTGAAAGGTGCTCCGTCTGCACCTCCGTGCATTACTGTGAAAGGTGCTCCGTCTGCACCTCCGTGCATTCCTGTGAAAGGTGCTCCGTCTGCACCTCCGTGCATTACTGTGAAAGGTGCCTCCGTCTGCACCTCCGTGCATTACTGTGAAAGGTGCTCCGTCTGCACCTCCGTGCATTCCTGTGAAAGGTGCTCCGTCTGCACCTCCGTGCATTCCTGTGAAAGGTGCCTCCGTCTGCACCTCCGTGCATTACTGTGAAAGGTGCCTCCGTCTGCACCTCCGTGCATTATTGTGAAAGGTGCTCCGTCTGCACCTCCATGCATTACTGTGAAAGGTGCTCCGTCTGCACCTCCGTGCATTCCTGTGAAAGGTGCTCCGTCTGCACCTCCGTGCATTACTGTGAAAGGTGCCTCCGTCTGCACCTCTGTGCCCTGGTGACTCTGCCTGGTTAGTGTGAGGCACAGTGCAGGCGCCAATCCCTGCAATGATGGTGACAATGGTAGAGGTACTGGAGACAGACTGGGGCTGGTCCTGGGGATGGAGTGGCATCTGGGAACAGAAAGGCGTGCACCCCAACGCCATGGCCATCACGTCTGCGATGGACTGCATGTTTGTGTCTTCTGGAGTTCATAAATGAAACCCTTCATACCAATGTGATAGTATTTGGGAGTGAAGCCTCTGGGAGGTGATTAGGTCAAGAAGGGACAGCACTCATAAATGTGTTGGTGCCTTTATAAGAAGAGGCTAGGGAGCTAGCTAGCTCTTTTTTATTTTTATTTTTTTGGGATGGAGTCTCACTGTCAACCAGGCTGGAGTGTAACAGCACAATCTCAGCTCATTGCAACCTCCGCCTCCCCAGTTTCAAGCAATTCTCCTGCTTCAGCCTCCCGAATAGCTGGAACTACAGGCATGCACCATCAAGTCTGGCTAATTTTTTTGGATTTTTAGTAGAGACGGAGTTTCACCATGTTGGCCAGGCTGGTCTTGAACTCCTGACCTCCAATGATCCGCCTGCCTCGGCCTCCCAAAGTGCAGCAATTACAGGCATGAGCCACCACTCCCAGCCTCAAGAAAATGATTTTTTCTTTTTTTTTTAGACACGGTCTCACTTTATCACTCAGGCTGGAGTGCAGTGGCACAATCTCAGTTCACTGTAACCTCTGCCTCTCAGGCTCAATGATCCTCCCATCTCAGCCTCTGGAGTAGCTGGGACTACAGGCCCGCACCACCATGCCCAGATACTAGCTCTCTTTATGCCGTGTGAGGACACAGAGGGGCAGCAGTCTACAGCATGAACGTGGGCTGAATACACTAATCTGTATTTGATAACATGGCCAGGCAGTGCCAGAGGAGTCTGGGTCTTGTCAAGCTTTTCCCTGAAAAATGCCAGTTTCAGACTGGTTTGGCCTTAGCAGGAAAACAAACATCTACAAGTATGCCGACCCCTGGATGTTGGATTTCCAGGCTCCAGAGCGTTGAGAAATAAATGCCCGTTGCCTCTAAGACACCCAGTCTAGGGTACTCTGTTATGCAGCCTGAATTGACTAAGACCATACCCAAGTGCAGAACGGGGTTGCGCTCGAAGGTATTCTCATGACCACAGGCTTAGGCTACTCAAATGCCTCGAGCAGCACCTTGTCCTTGATTCCACGGACTAAAGGTTTCACTGTCACAGTATGGAGAATATCCCCTAGCTGAAAAGGCTGTGATTAAAACTGAGGTCATGGATGCAGCCCAGTGGCACAGATGACTTAGACCAGAAATTCTGTCCAGCCAGTAACACAGACCCCATTGGCTAGAGAATTTCAAGATTCTTAGAAATGCCCCACTATAGGAGGATCGCTTGAACCTGGGAGGCAGCGGTTGCGGAGAGCCGAGATAACATCATTGCACACTCCAGCCTGGGCTAACAAGAACAAAACTCCGTCTCAAAAAAAGAAAAAAAAGAAATGCCTCTCTGTTGGCAAGAACGCAGCAGAAGATGCTGGCAGAGGCCGGGGGTGGCTTGGCTGGTGCTGCTTTAAAGGATGTAAGAGCTCTGGACTTGGGAGAAACATTAAGTCACTGGGCAGAATGGTCCACGCAAGTGTGTACTTTAGGAAGGACACCAGCCCCGCACTTGGCTGGTTAGAAGTTTACCAAGAAACATCAGCAGTGCCTCATTTCAGTAACAATGGTAAGGGCTTTGTTCAGCCTGCCCGAGGGGCAGGGCCTTGCGCATTCTTTGCTGCAAGGAAGCAGCCAGGAGGGGCCCGTTCAACCACTCATCACTGCCCTCCTCCCAGGAGGCTGCCGTGCCAAGACTCTCGGGCACCAGGCGCCTATCACCCACACTTATCCACATTCGATAGTATTTGATAACACAGCCAGGCAGTGCCAAAGGAGTCTGGGTCCTGTCAAGCTTTTCCCTGAAAAACCCCAGTTTCAGACCGGCTTGGCCTGAGCAGGAAACAAACATCTTGGGCTGAAACGGGCTGCTGCCGCTCTCGCCCTGGAAGCTGCCTTTGCGTCTTATTCTGCTTTTCCCGCACCCTAAAACACTGATGCCCACGCCCTCCGCTAGGCACTGAGCAAGCAGACAGCATAAGCCAATCTGCTGTCCACGTGGGTAAGGGAACCTGATGCCCGGAAGCTGGCGTGTGACTCAGCCACAGTTCACGAGGACAACTCATGGTGATCCTGACACTGATCTGCCTGCTCCGGATTTCAGGAGCTGCTGCTGACACTAGCTCTTGGTGGGCTCCCCTGGGGAGAACACAGCTGAGAGAACGTGGCACAGGATGACGAGAACACGTGTGTGTGGCGGGGGGCAGAGGGCTCCCTTGGGTGCTTTGGTCTGAATGTTAGTGTCACCAAATCCATATGAAGCATCACCACCCAAGGTGATGGTGTTAGGAGGTGTGACATTTTGGGACATGATTGGGTCATGAGGTCAGAACCCTCATAAACAGGATCAGGGCCCCCATGAAAGACTCACAAGAGGGCTCACCAGCCCCTTCCACCGTGAGAGGACACAGCAAGGAATGCTGCCTATGATCAATGACCCCTCAACAGATCCCAAACCTGCCTGTGCCTCAATGCCTCAGTCTTGGACTTCCCAGCATTCAGAACCATGAGTAATAAATGTCTGTGGTTCATAAGCTGCCATGTCTGTGGTGTATCATTACAGGTGCACAGCAAAGATGCTGGGACTCTCTCACAATGTGCACAGCTTCAGCCGAGTCATCACGGAATATGGTACCTGCGGCATGTGAGGGCCACGCCCCTCTAGGCACAGAAAACACACAGCTTCTTGACACCCACCACCCATCCCAGCTGCTGCACCACCTCAGGACGTGCTTGTTCGGAGGGGCAGACAGGGAGCACAGAGTCACCTCTGCTACCCCAGGCCAAGAGCCCCACTTGGGGAAGGCAAAAGCTACGGATGGCCCTCAGCTCGGGCGAGGTCAATGAGGGTGGAGGGTAAGCTTCCTTCCCTCTTCCCACTTTCCCTCTCCTTTCCCCCCCACCCCGAGACGGAGTCTTGCTCTGTTGCCCAGGCTGGAGGGCAGTGACATGACCTTGGCTCACTGCAACCTCCACCTCTCTGGTTCAAGCAATTTTCCTGCCTCAGCCTCCCAAGTAGCTGGTATTACAAGCATGAGCCACCACACCCAGCTGATTTATTTTTGTATTTGTGGTAGAGATGCAGTTTCACCATGGTGGCTAGGCTGGCTCAAACTCCTGACCTCATGATCCACTCGCCTTGGCCTCCCAAAATGCTGGGATTACAGCCATGAGCCGCCGCACCTGGCCTCTCTCTTTTTTCTTAAATGACTTTTATCATTGTTCTAACCACTGGCTGCCCAGCCCTCAATGCCTTTGGGACTATATGGCAGCAGATGGGTGCTCCCCCACAGGTAGGCGTGTCTATCTGCCTGGCTCCACCTGCATAGGAATTGGCTCCATTCTGCCTCCTCTTTTGCACTAGACAGAGCCTAGCCTGTGCAGACATCCTCTAGGCGCCTCTTAGTTCCCTGCCCGCCTTCACTTTGGTCATGATGTCTAAAGCAGTTTTCAAAGTCTTAGAATATGCTGCACCTGTTCTTTCAGCCACCTCCACTCCTGCTGGCCTGCCGCTCAGTCACCAGCCAACACTGGCTGCAGGAGGCGACAGCGATGGGGGCCTTCTAAGAAAATCCACTCCCCCTGGCCTCCTGAGGCCTCCACTCTACCCACCCTCCCTATCTGCGGAGGGACAGTCTCCCCTCCAAAGCCCCACCAAGGACCGAAGGAGAAGTACGTCACCTGGCACTTGCCATGCACGCAAAGATCAGTCTCGTAGGGTCCGCAGGGTGTGCCGTCCAGGACCCTGTCAGCCACCAGCAGTGGGGACTCCTTCCCGAGGGGCGAGCAGTAGAGTTCACACGGCTTATCTGAGGAGGGAAAGGTTGGGAGATGTTGACATGGGAGGGTGTGGGTGGGCCACGTGGGGCGCAGGTACAGGTGGACTGTGGGAAACCCCGGGGAAGAGAGGTCAGCACAAGTAAACAAGAGTGCATGAACTCAGCTGCATGCTCCAGCTCCTGTGAACACGAGGCACAGCAAGTGGAAAAAGACCCACAGACTCAGGGGAATGGTGGTGGTCAGAGCTCGGTGGGGCTGCCTTTTCTCATCTCTTTATCCTTTGCAGTGACGCATTTCCTTTTCCTTAAGGCATCAAATACATCTGGCTGAACAAAGGTGTAGCTGTGCTAACAGTTGACGAATACACGTCAGGGGTGAGCTGGGGCCACTCTTAGAGCAGGGGTGAGAAGGGAGGGGAAGGGGAAGGTGAATGAGAATGCCTCCGAGCTCGGGGAGCAGCCCCAAGGGTCTCCATGACAGTGGCTTTGCTAACAGCTTTAGAGCTCCCCTAGCTGCTGGGTGACCGTCGCAGAGCTGTGCTATGGGGCACCGAGATTGCAGCAGAAACTGAGTGGGAGTAAGGTACAAAGAGGACACGTGGGCTGCCAGAACAACTTACAAGGGCCACACGTGCACCCAGGCAGGGTGGAAACCTGGGCTTCCGCTGCTCCTGAAACCACGTGACCTCCCAGAACACGCCCATCTCCCGGTCCTGTGCCCTGGATGTGCTCTTTGCTTGGAAATCCCTCACGGCACCTTGTCTTCTACCACCCGGGAAGCTTCCACCCCGGAGCTCTTCCCTCACACCAGCTTTGACGTGGGGTAGCACCAGCATCTTTGCTCGGTTCTTCCAGTTAGTTGTGGGGGAAAACATCTGCCCGAGAGTAGCCTGGAGAGCTTAAGCTTCCAGGGTCAGCGGAGTAATGATGCCTCAACATGTGTCCACTCACCAAGCAGGGACCGAGCCCCTCCCTCACACAAGGCACTCTGAGGGCACTGCAAGGGAAAGAGACACGTGATGTTTGCTTCTGCAGGCCCCAGTGGGCTCATGACCAAGTGCACAGCAAACGCAGGATGCGGCCATATGTGACAGGTCTGATGGGAGCTGTCAGAGGGCTGGGTGCAGCCTGGAAGGAATGAGTCATTTCCCGAGCTGGCAGGCTAGGGCCAGTTGTCCTTCCATTTGCAGGAAAGGACCTCAGGAGGTGGCTGTTGGAAGGAGAACTCTGGAAGATGGAGACGTACACTGAGACTAGCTCAAGAGGACTTGCTTGACAGGGTCACAGAGGTCTCTTCTGGGACCTGAGGTTCCCCAAGCATCTTGGGGAGCTGGTAGAAGAGATATAGCAACACAGCCCCCAGCATGGAGTCTACTCCACACACTGGACTGCCTCTACTGTTTCACTGAAAGCAACGGTCCCATGGCCAAAGCAGTCTGAAATTGTGCATTTTAACTGCCTTTAGACTGAAATGCTGACTCTGTACTGGGAGTAACTGAGCTTTGAGGTGATTTGTTGAACAGCAGTCATAGTAAGGATGATGAAATCATCAACAATATTTACTATCTACGGTGTGCCATGCAGCATGCTAAGTAGTTAGTGTCTGTTCATTTCAGGTGGGTGCTGTCATCATTCCATTATACAGACGCACACACGGGGCTCACAGAAAGTGCTCAACAGCTGGCAGGGCACACCCCAGCCTCTTGGCTGCAGCCTGGTTCTTTCTCCATCATTGCAATTTCCTCTCTAAACTGAGAACTCCTAGGACCAAAATTATCAAGGACAAAGTGGCATTGCTAAGAATAAACCACCGGTTTCATGCATGTTTCTGGCTTCCGAGTGTATCCTCTGATCTGAGCAGAAGTGGAAGTGAGACTTGGGTAGAAAAGCAGAGGCTGTTTTGAGGCAAGTTAGAAAGGCCAGACTCGGAAGGGATGAAGGCTGTTTATCTGGACTCTTTGGGGTGGGCAGAGAAATGGGGACTCGGCAAAGCAGAGGTCAACCTCAGCTGGAGGGATGCTGGCCATAACTCTCACAGGAACGGACACTCAGCTCCTCCTGCATGCAACCGCTCACCTGCAGACACTGCCCTTCACAGCTTGGACAGCCAGGGACAGTCAGGCTCCAGAACAGAGTCTAGAGGTGGGGCCTCCTTTCCCTGCTCAGCCAAAACTCTCCATTTGTCCATCTCCTCTTTGAGGCCTCTGCTTGGAATTCAGGGCACCCACATCACTAGCAAACTATATGGCACGATCTCCAAAGGGACTGAGGATAAACTTTATAAAACGTGAGGAGGAGGCTCAGAAGGCCTCGAAGTTCTCTATTTCCCTCCAGGCTGCCTTAGGTAAAAAATTAATCGCCAGAACAAGTTCCCTGATAAATAACATGAAGTGGTGGGATTCGGCTTTGGGCATAGCATCAACACTCTTACATCCCCAGCAGCACTAGACGAAATCGCATACAACCAACCACACACTTGAAGGAAAGGAGCTTAGAGCATGCTGCCTGAATGCCTGGTGTGTGCTGAGATACAATTCTGGGTGACGCCGCGATTCTGGGTGACGCCGCGACTCTGGGTGACGCCACGACTCTGGGTGACGCCGCGACTCTGGGTGACGCCGCGACTCTGGGTGACGCCGCAATTCTGGGTGACGCCGCGACTCTGGGTGACGCCGCAATTCTGAGTGATGCCGCTATTCTGGGTGACGTTGCGATTCTGGGTGATGCTGCAATTCTGAGTGACGCCGCGATTCTGAGTGACGTTGTGATTCTGGGTGATGCTGCAAAGCCTGGGGCCAGTCTGGCTTCTTGCTGGCCTGCCTGGCAGCAGGACTTCTGCTTGGCTGGAGTAGGTCACAGGCAGGGCAAGGAAGACGGACTCAGTGAAGATGACACTCATGGCTCTCCACATTCTTGCTGCTCTCTCTCTCTCTCTCTCTGCCAGCAGTTAGACAGTCTCTGTATGGTGGAAACACTGCTTCTGAGTTCACAGCACTCATCCAAGTTCTGCCTGATCCTCTGTGGGGGGACACATGCTGAGGAGGCTACTCAGACTCCTGTCCCCCAAAGCTGCGCACCCGGCCTCCTCATCTGTCCCCGGCAGCCAGGCCTCCATGGATTTGACCGGCAATGAGCACCTATCCATAGCCAGCCTGTTCCTCGTCTCTTTCCTGGGAACTCAGTACTGAAATTCAGATGCAGAGAAGTCATGTCTGCTCATGGCTGCTGAATCCCGAAGAAGGCTATACTCCCTTATATGTAATTCAGAAATCCAGAAAGCTTTGACAACTTAAGTGTTCTCTTCCACTTGTGGCAGACACATTTGGCGGCAAAACCAGCCTGGACTGATGTGAGCTCTTGGTAGTGTCCGTACCCGCTTCATGAGGTTACCCGCTGGGCAGACCCACGTGTTTGACTATGGGGTGCTTTCCTGGAACCCACCAGGGATACAGATTATTTGGTTGATTTGAACACATAAAATGCTCTGAGACCTGAACCGTATGTGGTCCCAAAGGATCTAGATGAGGGTTGTGTATTTGCATAAGAGGTGCCGTGGGCTACCCTACCAGCTTGCACGTGGACAAGTCCTGAGAAAACTTGTGGGTGCAGGGGGGTGTGACTACCAGATGCAAGCAGCAGAGACCTCGGAGCTACGGTCCTGACATCTCTGGCTTTGCAACAGCTTCCCTCGTTTTCCTTAAGCAGCCCCAGCTGGCTTGGCGGAGCTGGAGTCAGAGAACCCTAACCATCATGCCCCTCACCCCCCCAAAGGCTCAGACCTGGGTTCTGCTGTGCCAGGCAGGAGGAGTTGGGAACGCACAGCCATGGCCAGACACAGCCTCTGCCAAGCTCTCTGACACTTCGGTGGGCCTGTGGCCTGCTGGCCTGGGCAGGGAGGACTGAACTCTTGAAGGTTTCCACTTCAATGAGATTCCACGGGGAAAGCAGAAACAGGGTGGGTTTGGCAATGCGCCATCTCAACGGGTTTCTGTCTAGAGGCTTTTCCACTGAGAAGTATTTTCTAAGGAGAGTCTTTGTCTTCTTTTGGAGGTGGGATGGATTTTGTGGTCCTGAATCCTCCCTTGGAAAATCTACCTCTGCAATAATTCTTTTTTTTAAAAAAAAGGAGAGAGAAAAAAGAAAAAAATACAGTCTCCCCTCTCCTGAACTGTGCGTCACTCGCCAAAGAATTCCGCGGCGATAGCATTGCTATGAATAGGGCAGTCATAATGGGCTTCAGAAGAGCCCAGAGCCCAACCACAGGAATCGTTCCTATCATGGCTCAGCTACAACCATACCTTTTATGAACAGAGTTTTCAGAGGTACACTTATAATCTGTATTCTCCCCCTGCCTTCTAAATTGGCCGTTTATTACTTGTTTTTACCCTTTGTGGAGTGCTCCTTTAAAAAATGCTGGCCTCTGTTTAGATTTGAGAGAGAAACGAAATTCTCTGCAGATGCAAGAGGTCAGGACGATTCTACCCAAGAGGAGGCCGTGTCTAGTTACCTGTGCAAAGCCCTGAGCTTGGGGTCTCTCCTTCAAAGGCGAGATACTTACTGCCTGTGAGCTGTCCGTATCAAACGGGACTGCGCTTTTCACATCAAAGGCAGTGGCACTCTAGTGAGAGTCACTTACAACTTGGGCACAGAGGACAGAAAGTGGGTGAGAGGTCACGTTCCCAACCCAAGCAGCTCCCCAAAGAGCCGCACCGCAAGGCTTCCCGGGTGGAGGGTCTGGGCAGACAAGCCCCAGCCACTGCGGTGATAAGGCAGCTGAAGTCCAGCCATCCAGAAGTGGGCAGAAGGAAAACCGAAGTTTAATCTGGACTTGGAGAAATCTGTGGAAAAACAGACGCTGCAGTGGGATTTCTGCACATGAGGCAGGAGCACCGAAAACTGAAGCAGGCAACAAGGAAGGAACAACTGGAACACAAAGTCGAGCTGAAATCTCAAGAGCAGAGTCTGTCCCAGACCTTCCCTCCTCTTGCTCCTGCGAAGTGGGAGCGGACAGGAAAGGTCTAAAAGCATCCTTTTCTGGCATGCTGGGGAAAGCTGAAGGTTAGGAATCTGAGCTGTTTCTCGTGAGAACCAGCCACTTCTCATGAGAACTGGACAAAGGGCAGCTCTCTCACTTCCAATTAGGGGTCTGCGTGTGGCTGACACAGCGGAGGCCTCCTGCCACCTCCTGCATCTGATTCACAGCCAGGCAGAGAGAGGCGAGGGCCTGTGTGCAAGTGCGTGGCCCCAGACACACTGTTCTTTTTAGGAGGGCAGGTCTCCACTCTCCCTCATCTGCAGGGAAAGTTGAGGGTGCCAAGGCCGTGTTTCTCGTGAATTCTGCCGGCTAGCCGAAGGTGGTGCTCTTTTTCAAAAAGGACAATGGCAGATCAGGGGCTCCCTAAAACTTTTAATGAGTCCTCATCTGAGTGGGCTGCTGTGACCTGCTACAATGTAGAGCATCACACGTGGCTTTACGTGTCAGCTCAAAGAGGACCGGTCAGGCTGTCAGACTAAAGCTGCAGATCTGAGGGCTTGGGCCTACCCTCACACAGCTGTGCACACTAGAACTTGCAACAGCAGACCGCGGAACGCAGATTTCAAAGGCTCTTCCCATCACAGGGAAGAAGCCCAAGAGCCGGCATCAGAACATCATTCTTCTGCAAAACATTTTTGAGGCTATCTAAAAATCAAGCCAAATTTCTTAAGTTCTTCTTAAAGCTCCCTGACTCCACACCCATGAAGTCACGCAGTCTGCCGTCTTCCAATGTTGGAAGCCAGGCGATAGCTGCCTATTTTCTGTGAGTCAACTGCTCTGGAACGGAGGTCAGCTTCTGCCCTGGCCTCTTGTCAGTTACAGGCGCTTAGAGGTGTCCTGTAACCTCGTTCCCTCTCATCTTCTGCATAGCCTGTTTTGTGTATTAAGTGAGGCAATGTATGTAGGGCTTACTTGTATCTTGTACACGAAGTACTGATAAACGGGCTCTTATCATTATAACACAAAGTCTTACTTCCTAAAGAAGTTTTAGGTGGAAAAAAAAAAACAAAACAAAACCCTACAACCCTGAAGTGGCCGTGGGGTGTCCTTTTCTATTAAGGACGTTAATGAAGCAGACATGACAAATGCATCCATGACACACCACCTAGAACTTCATCTGCAACCAGAAATGCCTGCAGGGGCCCAACGGAGCAGTCTCCTGACTTGGGAGAAAGCTCTTGGGAAGACAATGTGACCTGTGCTTATTATCATCTTTCCCATGTTGTCACCTATTCTCAAAATGTCCCCCAACATTCTGGCCAAGGATTAAGAGCCAATCCAAAATAAAGCAAGAGAAGTAATGCAGGGGAGCGTCCACACCGGGAAGCCAGACAGCAGCCGCAGCAACACCGTGCTGATGCTGGAAAGCCTTGCTCTCCTCAGTTTGCCCTGGGTCCCTCTGCACGTGGCGCCAGGGGCAAGATGCCAGCACAGCCTCCTCGCTACAAATGGGGTTGCAGGATGCATGTGCCCTGCTGCCTGCTTCCACACTGCAGCTAAAACATCTCACAGAGTTGGGTCATTCAAGGTCAACCCCCCGACTCACAAAGCTGGGCCACAGCTTACATGGGCAGAGGACTGGGGTGTCTTGCCGGGTTGGTTTGGGAAAGGGGTACCCCCCAGCTTCCCTAGGTGGTTTTTATGTTCCTGGGGGAGGAGAGGAGGCTGCCACACAAGGACATGCCATATGCCTTTACCATCGACTACCACGGCAGTCAGCAGGCCCTTCTTCTTGCTGCTCAGCCGGTCGTGCGCCTGGCACTGCTGGTCCCGGAAGCTGGGCAGACCCTTGGGGCAGGGCAGGTTCTCGCAGACCGCATGCTCCACACTGGCACCCAGGCAGTGTGCGCCTCCAGGCCCAGGGCTGGAAGGAAGAAGAAGGCCTGCATTAACCGGATGGTGCTACCGAAGAGCAGGAGAGCTGTTTCCATCACTCTTGCCGGGAGGAAGAAGAGGAGGGGGACGGGGGCAGGGTAAGATTTCCAAAGCAACGACCTCTCTGCTGTTACAAACCGCATGCCCACAACCCCAGACCCACACTGCCGGCAAGCTTAAGTGAGCCCTCTGAAAGGTGCATCGGGAACTGGGAATCGTGGAAGCAGAAGGCAGTGAGTATCAGTTCAGCAAGATCCACATGCTGTATCCTTCATCTGAACTTAAAATTTGGCCACAGGTAACACTGAAAATAAACCCAAGGGACATCTTTGGAGTGTGTGTGTACATGTGTTTGTATGTTTTGCAAGGGATTCCTCCTAAATGAATACTTTTTTCGGGGGGGAATGGGGTCTTGCTCTGTCGCCAGGCTGGAGTGCAGTGGCACAGTTCTACAACCTCTGCCTCTCATGTTCAAGCGATACTCCTGTCTCAGCCTCCCAAGTAGCTGGACTATAGGCATGTGCCACCATGCCCAGCTAATTTTATTTTTTTAGCAGAGACAGAGTTTCCCCATGTTGGCCAGGATGGTCTTGATCTCTTGACCTTGTGATCTGCCCGCCTTGGCCTCCCAAAGTAGTGGGATTACAGGCATAAGCCACTGCGCCCGGCCCAAAATGACGACTTTAAACGGCCCACAGGTATGTGCTGGAGGTTAAGTTTCAGGGAGAGTAAATCCATAGCCGGCTTACGTTATAATGAGAATAAGAACAACGAGTTCACCTGCTCATGGGCTCTGAGGGAGAACAGTTAGATCCGGGCTGTGCTCCCTTTACCTGGGCAGGTGTGAGACCACACATGGTTAATGCTGTGGTCTTGGGTCCTAGATGCTCTGTGCTGAGGCTGGGGTTTTAAGCCATTGTCTGGAGACCCAGGCTGTGTTCACTGGCCAAGTCCACACATTTGAGGGCCTCACTGCCAACGCACAGCTCTGCCCTGTGTTTCTGCAAGGCCCTAGGGTGTCCCTGGAGGACCCAGGCGTGGGCAACCCCAACGGTTCCATTCATTTCCATGATGCCAAGGTCATCATGATTTGATAAGCTTTCTTACCCACTCCCACGCCCCCCTGTCCTTTTTATTGAAATTCAGCCTATGAAAGAAAGGGGCAAACCGTTCTGCACAATGAATTTTCAAATCGTGCACACCTGTTGGCCAAATGTCATCTCAACACGTCAGCCATTTCCTCTGTGCATTTCTTTTTCTTGCTTTGCCATTTTTCGTGTTCAGAGAGCAAGTCCACCCTGTGACTGCTACTTTAGGGAGAGAGGCAGAACAGGGCAGAGGTTTCAGGCTTTTGTGTCAAACAGGTCTGCACCAGGGGTTGAAAAGCTGTTTCTGTCAAGGGCCAGATAGTGAATATTTTTGGTTTTGTGGGCATACAGTCTCCAGCCACTCATCTGCCACTTTAGCACAGAAGCAGTCTAGAGACAACATGGAAAAGAACAGCCATGGCTGTGTCCCAATAAAACTTTATTCAATACCTGCTGGTAAGCCAGATTTGACCTGTGGAGCCCAAGTTTGCCAGCTCCTGATCTACACAGATGTCTTGGAGAAAATATCCTGGGGAGAAAGTCCCCTTTCATACTTCTGTCTGCCTCATATACACCAGAAAATAGTTCCCTCCCGCAGGAGAAGAGGAGACCTAGGGAGATTAAACCTACTGGTGGCCCCACAGTGGGGCCCTGAGCTCTGGTCTTCAAGCAAGGCAACAGCTAAACCTCTAGAAGGTTTATGGGGTCTGAGAACAAAGGGATCTTGTGCTCTGCTTCCTGTCTAGAAGGCAAGGGAGGCAGTTTCAGAGAATGACTGCATGGTGTGTTTAGGCAGAAGGAGCCTCAGTTAGCCTCCCCAGGAACCTGGGCCCAGGTACAGTTGCAGACAGAATGAATCAAATCCTGTGGCACGAAGCACAGGGTGGAAGGAGTGAGAGGGGTGACTCCCAAGAGCCACATGGATCAGCAGGAGAAACATCACTCTGGCAATAAGTGAGTCCCCACAAGTGGACACCAGAGAAGGAAGGAGTGAGGCGGCAGGTGCATACTGGCACAATGTTTCAGGCCGAGCCGGGCCCCCACAGAACTATGCCAAAGTCCTAACCTCTAGTGCCTCAGAGTGTGACCCGATTTGGAAACAGGGCCAGCAGGGCACAGATATAATTAGATAAAAGGAGGTCACACTGGAGTAGGCTGAGCCCCCAATCCAATACGAAGTGTCCTTATAAAAAGGGGACATCTGGAGATACACAGACACACACACACACACACACACACACACACACACACACAGGAAAACGCCATGAGAAGATAAAAACAGAGACTGGAATAATGCTTCTATACGCCAAAGAATGCCAAAAATTGTCAGCAAGCCACCAGCCACTGAGGGAGAGGCCTGGAACAGATTCCTCCTCATCTCCCTCAGGAAAAACCAACCTGTCAACACGCTGATTGGACTTCCAGCCTCCGGGACTGTAAGACAGTAATTTCCGGTTGTTTAAGCCACCTGGTTGGGGGTTCTTCATTACGGCAGCCGCAGGAAACTAAGGAACTGGACGACACAAGAACCAGACACTCCTCATGGAAGTTAGATGCGGACTCAGGGAAAGTGGGGCAGAAACCGAAGTCATGAGGAGCACAGCATGGACGGGGCATACGAAAATACAATGAGGTCGGTTTGCAGAAGAAGAAAGGCAGCTACATTCCCTATGCACTTGAGTGTGGCCTGCGATTGGTGAACAGCCTGGGATTAACTTCCTGAGTTGTTAGCGAGCTTCCTTTTACCTTCGGTTTCATGCCTTTCCAAAAGCTGACTTCTGCAGTTTTACATCTGCCTAACCCACATACAACAACTACCTTTACCCTGACAGTGAGGAGGTAGAGCGGAGGTAAGATGCGACGTGATGTAAGAGAACTGGATCCAGAAGAAAGTGGGCGGAGGGGGACCCACGGGTATCACACGTGCCTTGGCACACCTCCATCCAGATCTGCTTACGCTGCTGCTTCTCCATGACAACTTCTCCAACAGGCAGTCTCTCTGTGGTCCCTTACCCAGCTCACAGCCTCACAGTCCCCACTTCCCACCTCCTAACCCTCTGTCTGTCCTTGAGGCCACCTCCACCCTGAAGCCTATTTTTCCTTCCTCCCTAGAGCATCTCCAAATCTTGTTCAGGTCTCTGCTATGCTGCTTACCATCAACCTCATGGAATGGAGAGCTGTCTTCCTCCTGTTCCTCTGGGAGGAACACTGTGCAGTATGGCACAATATTTCCTAGGCTTTTCTGGTGGCTAAGTTCTCCTAAATGAAGTTGCTTTTAAATGTCTTTGTGCTTAAATTTCTGGCTCCTAAAAGGAAAAAGGAGGAAAATCCTTTTTCTGTGTTCTCAGCAGAGAACATTGCACAGGATGGTCTTCAATAAACAGTAGTTAGACTGAAATGAACTATATTACCAGATCTTGTCTTAAAATGACCAACAGAGGGAATGACATCAGGAAAGAAGAGAGCTGAGGAGGAAGCACCAGAAACCCACCTCTCCATCTAGACAGCAATCACACCGGCAAAAACTATCTGAAGAAACTATTTTGAAACTATAATCTACTTAAAAGCTTGCATCTTCCAGGGGAAAGCCTGGTTGGTCAATTTCAATTACTTTTGCTCAATTTCAGCCTTTAGTGTGGTAGCAGCTACTGCCCATCCTTCACCCCCAAGGCAGGCAGCTATGTCTGTGCTCCTAGTACAACTTTCTGGAGTCAGGGTGAGCAATAAGACCCTTATCTTCCAAATATCTGTGTTCTGACTGTTGACTGCTACTTTGGATTGTCAAGGTGCAGATGCAGACGATGGCTGATATTGTTGTAACCTCCATCAGGTGAAGGCCTTCAAAAAAAAAAAAAAAGACCTGATAAGACCTTAAGCTTCATTTCAGGTTGATTCCTGATCCAGAGATACCACTAAATCATAAAACAAAACAAACACCCTGGGGAAGGGGTAGAATCTATTTCTAGAGTTACGTCTCGTTTTTAATGAAAAGATCATAAGGCATACAAAGAAACAGTAAAGTCCGATTCATTCAAAAGAACAAAACATACTGGCGGAGCCTTTCCCTGAGAAAACCCAGATGCTGGCCTTGCTAAACGAAGACTTTAAAACAACTGTCTTAAAAGTGCTCAGGAACCAAATGAAGGCATAAAGACAAGAAGACAAGGTATGAACAAAACCAGAATATATGTAAGGATACAGAAATTAAGGAAACAAATATAAATTTTAGAACTGAAAAGTTTAAGAACTGAAATGAAAAATCCACCAGCTCAGAGCAGATTTTTAGCAGGCAGAACAAAGAATTCACAAACTTGAATATAGAACAATTGAAATCATTCAGTCTGAGAAGTAAAAAGAAAAAAAAATGTATAAAAGTGAGCAGAAATAATCTGTGGGACAGCATCAAGTGGATCAATATATGCACTATGAAAGTCTCAGGAGGAGAGAGAGAGAAAGCGGTAAAAGATTATTTGAAGAAACAATGCCTACAAGTTTCCAAATGTAAAGAAAGACGTAACTCTACAAATTCAAGAAGCTTGAGAAATTCTAAGTAGGATAAAAGGACCCAAACTAAGACACACTATAATTAAACTGCCAAAAGACAAAGAGAGAACCTTGAAAGCAATGAGAGAGGTGACACATCCCATACAAGGGATCTTCAAAAAGATTATTAGTCAATCTCTCACCAGAAAACTTGAAGGCCAAAAAGAAGTGGGCTTATGTATTCAAAGTGCCTAACAAAAGAACTGTCAACAAGGAATTCTATATCCACATAACTGTCCCTCAAAAATGAAGGTGGAAATTAAGACATTCCAAGATAAACAAAAAATGGATAAAGTTTGTTACCACTACACCTGCATTACAATAAATGCTAAAGGGAATCCTTCAAGTTCAGAAGAAA